GGCCTCCTGGTGTATGACCTTGGTACTGCAGCAGAACTTCCGGTTTTTGTATCTTTGGTCCTGAACATGCTATGGTCTTGAATTTTTGGTGACAGATAGCTTTTCCTGTCAGGAATAAGTGGTGTGGGTTTGGTCCCCCTAGCAGCTTGTTCAGGAACTGCAGGGGACTTTCGGGCGAAATCTTTGAAAGCCAATAAGTCCAGATAGGAACAGCTATATTTTCATCATTTTTGGTGTGTAGGTATCTGACAGAGAGATGTACATAATTAACTGCAAATTATGCAAATGAGGACTTTATTTGCATAATTAATGAGGAAATTCTATAATTACAGTGTTTTACATTATAGAACTTTCATACATGTAATGTATGTAACCTATGGCAGATGGAACATCAACAGATACTAATTATGCAAATGATGACCTAATTTGCATAATTAATGCAAAAAATCTATGATTTCTCAATGGTGAATGATGGGAATATCATACTTGGGACATCTTTAAGTTAATCAAAAGTTAACATCACGATGCATATATTATGTTAATGCAGAGGTTATTTGCGTAATTAAAGAAGAAATTTACATTTACATATCAAGCCCATATTTCATGGAGGTATGAGATCTCGGAACTCTTGTTTAAAATGAATTGTCATTCTGATAGTTTTGTTTTGAGAATATTCCCATTTAAATAGAAATCCTTTTTAAAGATACAATTTGAAGACCATACAACCATGCATTATGTTTAGACTGTAAACTGGCCAACATACATGTACAGCCAGGGCTCGAAATACTGGCTGCATGTGCACTTTAGTACACCCAAAATTGGATCGATCGGTGCACCCAATTTTTTTTCTGTGGGTGCACCCAAATATTTTTGTAGGTATTTTTGTACACATGAAAATGTATACATGTGTAATAGTATGCAGGATATTCCTGGCATCTAAGTGTCAGAAAAATATTAATCTTTGTTGTAGTACTTGTTTAATATTTTGAAGTTAGCTCCCATTTCAGATTCAAGCTCAGAATAGGAGCAGTAAGATCTGTAATTAGGTTTTGTTTTATTTTGTGCTCCCAAACAAAATTTTGTGCACCTAATTTTTTAGGTTGAGTGCACCAGTGCACCTATCCCCAAAAATGAATTTCAAGCCCCGCAATATACCTGCAGGTACAAAGTATACATGTATTAGACATGTTGACTTACCTTGGCTTTCAGCATATAAAACCCCACACATCAGAACCGTAAAGAAGAGTATGGCTGAACTTTTCACGTCGGCCATGATTTACAACCTGGCACTTTAAAAAACTGCCAGAAACGAAGATCCTACTAAATAATGCAAATTTCAAGAATCAAACTCTATAAGGCTTCAATCAGAGTACAGTATTATCGGTGTGATGTCCTTTCCAGCCAACTCACTACAGACCACACCACTGTAATGTGTAAATAGTACAACAGGATATGTACACTAGCAGAGGAGGGATGGGCTTGTTTTAATGTATAATCACGGCAGTGCAAAGGTCATTCCACGTTGCAGGATGTTGTGCCTCACAACGCTGACGTTTCGTCAACGTCAGTTGTTTACAGTTTTAAACAACGTCATTTGTTTACTCTCGACAACAACGGGATAAATTCCTATACTACTGTGTTTACACGTACTTTGAACACACCTTTTCAAGTATGTTTTTCTTTTAATTACGTCATAGATACCATGTAAATAGAATCTTTGAGTGACAGTGATTTGGAGAATTTCATACATTGTAGCAATTGTGGAAGACAGTTAGTGCATAGTCATTAAGTCAATGTAACAATTGAAAAATCTCATTGCCATTTTAGCAGCAGGCTTGCAATTATCTCATATGTCTGTGAAGTATTTTTATGTGTGAATTGCTTGTTTTATTCATCATGATTGTACATTTCTCACTGATTCTGTCTTTTATGACATTTTCCCCCTCGCTCTTAGTCTCTACCAGTCTAACTACGCTGGCTATATATAGGAGAATATTTGCCGGGGGAGTTTGACTGCCTTGTAGATTTGACTGGGCCACGCAGGCCTTCGGAGGGAAAGAAACTACCTCCCCGCGGCCGGACTCCCTGTTTGCCCATTTTATTCTCTTTTTTGCCGAATTCTATTATCCGTATTCCCGTAGAAAGGCCTGGTGGAGGCTACCTTGCTCCCACAACGCAACAGACAGCTGTATAGTACATGTAGTAAATTGAAGACAGGAAATGGGATAACCTTTTTTTTGGACCTTTGACCTTACTTCCTGTCAGTGTCCCCCAGATGCCTGGCATCTGGCAATAGTCTGGAACCACAAGCAAACCTACAAACAGATGCAACTGTTTCAATCTGGTTCGAAATCACTTCCACCCCCTCCCCTTGTGATTTATATTGATTGGTGCCTCCTATGCCTTAACCCTCAGGATGCTGAAGGCCACACCCCGATCCACATGGCCATCATTAGCTTATTATATATATATAATAACTGTTTTAAACTGGTTCAAAATCACTTGCACCCCCTCCCCTTGTGGTTTATATTGACTGGTGCCTCCTCTGCCTTAACCCTCAGGATGCTGAAGGCCACGCCCCGATCCATGTGGCCATCATTAACCAGAGTCCTGCCATCATCTCCCTGCTGCTGGCTCATCCTAACGTGGACCTCACCGTCAAGGACAAACATGGCCGCTCACCGTTTGCCACCGCCATGTCCTGTAAGAACAACAAGGCAGCGCAGGCGATACTGGATAGAGAACCTACAGCTGCAGAACAGGTAGGACTGTATCTGTGTATGTAACTAAGGCCGCACCAATTTAATTTGTTGGTTCTCTGATTTTTTCAGAAAAAATATGAAGCGTCATGCTACATCATAACTTAACTAGAGAAGTAACATTTGCAAAGCAAATGCATAATGTTTACCTTCCGACATGGTCTGTTCTGTTAATTCTTACTCAATTACATTCATATATATGGTCAGCCAGGAGTATAAATCCCTCCTACTATAAAATTGCAACATTATGTAACCCAACACCAGTCACCATGGTGACAGACGTCAACAAATCATGTCATTGGTCAGATCATAGGTCACTGTTTGGAGAAGAAGAAGAGGAAGAAACTGAGCAAAAACAAGTAAGGCCACACCAAGTAAATTTTATGGATGACGTCCTTTGGAGACCCTAAATCTAATGCGAGAGGGCGAAAAAAAAACAAGAAGGGCCCTAAAAAACAAGAGGCCTAGATCAGAAAAATACTAAGAGACGACAAATGTTAGGACACAAATTGAATGAGGTGACACAGTGTAACATGATAGAAGTCTTTCATTCATCATCAAAACAGCAATAAATCAGCTGGAACAGCAGTTGTCGTCCTGTCCTGTTTTCACGTTACGGGTTTCACGTCAATCTGACGATTTGCAGCACTGTCGTGACTCTTTGGTCATAGTTACAGGAAGCGGAATTTCTTGTTTTTTTTCTAGGAACAGGTCAAAATCAATGCGCGCGCGGACGTCATCCATAAAATTTACTTGGTGTGGCCTAAACATAAAAAGTCTCTACTTTCATCCCTCTCAGGTTGACAACAAGGGCAGAAACTTCCTGCACATCGCTATCCAGAACTCAGACATCGAGAGTGTGCTGTTCCTCATCAGCGTCCACGCCAACGTTAACTCCAAGGTACAGGACGCCTCACAGATGTCTCCTCTGCACCTGGCTGTACAGGCTGGGGCTGAGATCATCGTCAGGAACTTGGTGAGTCTATTGTAAATTTGTTTACTCTTGTGGTGATTTTATTTTGAGATAGAAGGAAAGACTTTTTGCAGTATTCAAGAGATACATGTACATTCAAAATGCAAATTTGTGGTGTCATAAATTACCTGTTAAGGAATCACAGCAAAACTTCTTGCACAGTTAGTGCTGCAGCCTTTCGCAGTCTCTTTTTCTCTGCTGCAGCTTCTCCCATTCTCTTGTCTGCATCCACAACACCATGTTTGACTATTCAAGCTATTATAATCAGGGCTCGAAATACTTGGTGCATATACATGCACCAAATATTTTTCTGTGGGTGCATCAGTTTACCCAAATATTTTCATAGGTTTACGTATTGTAAAGATGTTAAATGTATCGTAGTTTACAGCATATTATTAAATATCTATGGGTCAATAGAATAATTAAATCATTATTTACATTTATTCAGAAATGAAACATAATTAGTTTTTGCTGACATTCTACTAATATTGTGCACCAAAAAAAAATTTTGTGCACCCAATTTTTTGGATTGGGTGCACCAGAGCACCTACATTGTATTCCCAAAAATGAATTTCGACCCTTGATAATAATAATTTATGTACAGTGTATTGCCAATAAACACATTTTCAGGATATACTGTCATCGTGATTTGGATGACATTTCAATCCTAGCCTAGAATGTAACCAGTAACTAGTGCTACATACATTTGTACCTAAACCCACATTAAGGTTCAGGTCCGGATCCAAGTCCAGAGGTTTAGGTTCAGTTCCGGACTTGTAAGTCTGGACCTAAACCCATGGCATATACAAAATTGCATGTTGGCAACCTTGCAATGTTGTTTGGGCAAAACTTTGGCCACATAACATGGAGGCCGACAGTTTACGATGCCCGATGGCAATGTTTTCTTCATTTTGCAGCAAAGATTTTGAAATCTACGGAAGGTTTTAGGTGGTTTAGAAAGAAAAGGGGTATGTGAAATGGTCTTTTTGGTAATAAGTCTGGACTCGGTTCTTGACTTTTAGGTTTTTTTGGACTTGAACCTAAACATTTTTACAAGTCCGGATCCAAGTCCGGTGAACCGTTACGCAGCCCTAAAAGTAACCCAAGTGTTTGCTCCTGTCTAGCTGTTGGCAGGTGCCAATGTGAATGATGTGAACAGTCAGAAACAGTCAGCCCTGCACATCGCAGCCAGTCTGGACCAGTCAGGCATCTGTAGCGTACTCCTGCAGAACGGCGTGGACTTCGACGGGCAGGACGACAGTCTCAACAATGGTACATTTTGTTTGTTTGTTTGTTTGAACCTTTATTACCTCTATGTACTGAGGTATTGTTTTGGGTGTGTCTACAATGTATTTGTGTGTTTGCATGCGTGCTCAGACAGCTGAGTGACAGCATGTTTGTGGTGGGGGGAATTACTTAACCACAGACCAGAAAAGGTCAGACACAGGATGTTAGGTCCTAGAAGCTGGCCAGGAGCCAGGAGGAAGCGTGGGATTTGTTGGCCAGATCAAACTTGATTCAAAGTGAGAAAATACATCTATTAGAAAGGTGGACACTCAGAGAAATTCACAAACTTTAAAGCTCTACTATTTCAGGGAGGTACATTAGGCCACATCAATTTAATTTGTTGTTTCTCTGATGTTTTTCAGAAAAAATATGAAGCGACAGGGCAAAAAAAAAACAGGCCTAGGCACCCCATGATAGCCATAAATGAACCATGAAGTGAACATACCAGGCTAGTTTATAATTAAAACAATAGATTTTGAACTTTGTTACATTGAAAAACTTTAAGAACTAGGAAGAAAAGGACTTTCTTCATCCGTTGGGACCAAAATATGTCTTTCATTGAGCATTTTGCAGTTGATTTAGAAAATTTTTTGTTTTTGCAAATCAGAAAAAAATGGACAGGGCGATCCAAAAAGCAACAAATTAAATTGGTGTGGCCTTACCTGACTGTATGGAACCTCCAAGGTCTTGTGATACAAATATTCTTCTATTCTTTGTCTGTCTGCAGCTCTCCATATTGCTGTACATCAAGGTCACCTGAACACAGCCAGAACCCTGCTGACTGAGTCACAGATTAATGCAGAGGCTGTCAACTTAAGGTGGGCAAATTTAGATGTACCAAAGATGAAAAAAAAAGTATGACAATCAGATCGTTGGAACTCTTAAATAACAGAAATATGCTGGATTTGTAAACTTGTTGCCTGTCTTATGATAGGAATTTTCCCTTAATATAAGTTTCTTTGGCAAATATGAAACAGGTAAACTGATTTTATCTTAAATTTTTAAGATATTGTCCCTTGTATCCAAATTAGATTACTAAAATGCACACACTCCTTGTTCTGCAAATCTTCAAATGTTTGCAGTGGTTTTGTTTTCCTGTGACCTCTAAATGTTCATAACACTGCAAATAGTTACACAGTTCCAATGAAACTAAACAAATTTACAATACTGTATATTATTTACCACAATATTTAGTAATCCATGACTTGTTTATACCTATCTTTTTTTTCAAATAATATTTATCTTTATTTCAAAAGCAAAGAAAAACAGAGGACATGTTCAGATGCAAGGAATTACAAAAGTAAATACCCAGAGACATTTTGCAAACAATACATGTACATCAGTCTAACAATTTACCATACAGTGGACCCCATTTCAACATATGTTTATCCATTTTCCCACAGTTTTGTGCTGTCACATATTCTAATTTGTGATAGCATTTAACATAGCCTATAAATCCGTTAATCGTGACAAACTTGTGCTGTCCTTGTATATATAAAGTTTCAATATTACATGTAGTAACAATATATTAAGGACAATAGGATGATTAACTGAAATGCCTAATATGATAATTCTGGGTGTAAGCTTGACTTCTGTATCAATATGTTGTCTTATCCAAGCTTCTACATACCCCAGAAATGTGCCTTCTACATACCCCAGAGTGGTACAATGGCAAAAAGGTGTTTATACCTGTCTTTTCCCAGAGGACAGAACCCCCTGCATGTCCTGGCCCAGTACAGTAAAGACAACGCGGCGTCCATCTTCGACCTGTTCCACTCGTCCATGCCGGAGTACCCGCTGGACGCGCCCGACGCGGAGGGGAACACGGCGCTCATGCTGGCGTACATGAACGGGAACGGCGGGCTGTGTCGCTCTATCGTCAGGGCCGGCGCCAAACTGGGCATCATGAACAAACATGGTGTCTCCATCTTCAACGCACCTGTGGCTACCAAACAGCTGCTGTATAGAATATTGGGTGAGTAGAAGTTCCTAGCTTAACTACATGACATTGTACACTTCTAGAAGGCCTTCCACTAGTCTAATTCCGCGTAGTGATGCATACCTAAACCCAATTTTAGGTTCAGGTCCAGATTCAAGTCCAGAGGTTTAGGTTCAGTTCTGGACACCTACATGTAAACCCATGGCATATACAAAATTGCATGTTGGCAACCTTGCAATGTTGTCTGGGACTCTGGGTGAAACTTTGACCACATAACATGGAGGCCAGTACTTGACGATGCCCAATGGCAATGTTTCCTTTGTTTTGCAGCAAAGATTTTGAAATCTACGGAAGGTTTTAGGTGGTTTAGAAAGAAAAGGGGTATGTGAAATGGTCTTTTTTGGTAATAAGTCCGGACTCGGTTCTTGACTTTTAGGTTTTTTTGGACTTAAACCTAAACATTATTACAAGTCCGGATCCAAGTCTTATTGTGCATAGCACTTCGGCAGAAAGAATGACATGATCCCATCTATAGTTTTTATGTATACTGAAGGAAAACATATTGTTTTTGCTCAGTTTCTTCCTCTTCTTCTTCTCCAAACAGTGACCTACTAGTATGACCTGACCAATGACATGATTTGTTGACGTCTGTCACCATGGTGACTGCTGTTGGGTTACATAATGTTGCAATTTTATGGTCTGCTCTGCTCCTGTCACCATATACTAGTTAAAATTAAATGTTGTATTATCGGAAAAGATACCATCGGCAACAGGCAAATTCTGATGCCACATTAACAATATTTTGTCATAGCAAATTTGTTTTAAGTGTTGTTTTTCTGTATTTATACATTACAGACATGTTGTCAAAAGAGCCCCCATGGTGCGAGAGCCAAAACTGCATGGAGTGTATGGCCAAGTTTGGGGTAGCAACAAGGAAACACCATTGGTGAGTGTTCCAACTCTTTTAGTTTTATCTTGTCACATCCAATATTGACTTACATGACATTGTATGTCTACTTGTCAAATTGTAGTTTTGATAATCTGTTATGCAAACAAAAGAGATTTTAAGATTCCTTAAGCCGGTGTCACACTCTTCAAGACCTTTGGCCGAATTTATTGATCACCTGAAGGTTGCCAAATTTCAAAATCACCAGAAAGTCTAGCATAATTTTAGCCCTAAAATTAGCCTATCACACTGGACACAGCTTGGTGATCTGTGAACATCTCTAAAAATCCTGCAGTAATCGAGAGGACAGTGGCTTTATTACTTCTAAGAATGTCCTTTTAAATTTGTTGGCAAGCTATTTTCTTGCTGATGGTAATTTGTCTAGTCCTAGCAGTAACGTTTTTGAGGAAAAACAAAAATTTACCGTGATTGTATCATTTTTTGATTGTGTGTCCTAAGTATATTAATGTACGTAATGCACTATACACTAGACTATCAGATTCTTTCCCAGCATTCACCACAATGAACTTGGAAAGAAAATTTAAATACATATTGACTTGTGACAACCCCTACATGTACTTGCTATACATAGGGATATATATCAAAGACTGTATGGATATTAGAAACTCCTCCAACGATTGTATAAGTTGATACCTATCTCATACTAGCCACCCACTTTTGTATTAGATTAGCCTTATGAAGCCTTATGACTGTATGTTGTACTTACTTAGGTTAGTAGATGCCATACTTTGTACACTGTACAATTGTTGCGTCATGTTTTTTTTTCTTTAATATCTCCAGTCGACATTGCGGACGTATCCTGTGTGGAAAGTGTTCGTCCAAGATGATACCTATCATCAAATACGAGCAGCCCAAACCCATCAGAGTGTGTGACCTCTGCTTTGAAGTTCTGTCCATGGGAGCCATGTCACCATAGAGGCAGAAGACTTCGGAACAAAGGAATTCTATAGTCTATTGTGTTAGGTCCTCGACAGCTGCATGGATTGCAGTGGCAACATTCTATTCTATACTTAATCCACCAACATTCATAATTAGGCCACAGCAAGTAATTTTCATGGCGCATTAATTTTTGCCTGACTTTGGAAAAAAAAACAAGAAATTTTGTTGCCTTCTGACAGTGGTCACCATGCCAAAAATGGGCAAAGATGTCTGTTGCCATGCCGGAAGGTGGATGGCAGAAAACTATAAAGAGAGGAGACAAGAAAAGGCTCTGATTTAATGTTTTGTTTCTTTGGCTGTGTATGTGTGATGTTCCCACTGAATCCAAACCATTTGTACAATGATTGAGTCAAAATTTTAAAATGTAGGAACCTTGTTTTTTCGGCCCGCCTTGTTTTTTTTTCACCCGCTCGCATCAGAGTGTGATTCTGAGGATGTCATCCATAAAATTTGCTTGCTGTGGCCTTAGATATTGACCAAACACTTGTGAGATGTATGTTGGACATTAGTTGGAATTGCAATGGTGAAATGTTGATAATGATCAACATGAAAAGCGAGACTCAAACTTATTGCTGTTCCAGGAAAATCCACCAGGGGGCACCTTTGTACAACAGACTGTATACACAGCATTTGAATATTGCATGAATCTAGACATTGACACAGACTGCTTTCTTGTGACTGTGCAGTAAGCTACCTTACATGTAGTGCTGTTTTGGGAAAATCCACTAGGGGGCATCTTTTGTGAAACAGACTGTATACATAGCCTTTGAAGGCATGAATCTAGACATTGACACAGACTGCTTTCTTGTGACTGTCGAGTAAGCTGCTTTACATGTAGTGCTGTTCCAGGGAAATCCACTAGGGGGCATCTTTTGTGAAACAGACTGTATACATGTACATGTACATGTATGTACACAGCCTTTGAAGGCATGAATCTAGACATTGACACAGACTGCTTCCTTGTGACTGTTGAGTAAGCTACTTTACATGTAGTGCTGTTCCAGGGAAATCCACTAGGGGGCATCTTTTGTGAAACAGACTGTATACATGTACATGTACATGTATGTACACAGCCTTTGAAGGCATGAATCTAGACATTGACACAGACTGCTTCCTTGTGACTTGAGTAAGCTACTTTACATGTAGTGCTGTTCTAGGGAAATCCACTAGGGGGCATCTTATGTCAAACAGACTGTATCCACAGCCTTTCTAGGCATGAATCTAGACATTGACAAAGACTGCTTTCTTGTGACTGTTGAGTAAGCTACTTTACATGTAGTGCTGTTCTGGGGAAATCCACTAGGGGGCATCTTTTGTGAAACAGACTGTATACATGTACATGTACATGTATGTACACAGCCTTTGAAGGCATTGACACAGACTGCTTTCTTGTGACTGTGGAGTAACTTCTTGTTCACCATTGGTGAAATGACTTGTGTGGTGTTTTTACTGTGCAACTGTAAATCTAGGGATTCAACTTGACGTGTAAATTGCTCTTGTCTCTGCAAATTCTTGCCAGTGGTTGAAACTGTACTCATGCAAGCCAAGCCATCATTTAAACCCCCTGTCAATATTATGGAATGTATCCTTTTCAAAAAGCGTTCTTCTAAGATTATATCTAGAATATCTTATAAAGGAATTCTCTGTCATAAAGTTTGGAAGTTGTCTTTCTTCAGATCATATTAATCCTGCCCTAACATTCAAAAATTCCTCTTCTAGTTTTCTACAGGAGTATTACAATAACTAAAATTGTGACAATTATGGTATAAGCTGTCAGTATATCGTTCAAAGACATTCAGATAGTACCTTTAGTATGTATATTATTGAATATATATGGAGCTAATTGTGTCAATCTTAAATGATTGTGCTGTTATGTAAAATGTTGACTGAGTAATGTACAAAAAATGAACTAACTGCTAGGAAAGGTGTGTTTTGTACTGGCAAAGATACCCAAATGTACATGTATGCCAATTAAACAGGTGCCTATATATCTGTGAAGTAATGGATGATAATTATGCAATACTACAAATATAAGTTGATTCATAGTTTGAACTGCGCATGTGCAGGGTCGAAGGTGAAGACCTCTAAGCCCACACCAATTTAATTTGTTGGTTCTCGGATTTTTTCAGAAAAAATATGAAGCAACAGGGCGAAAAAAATAAATAAATAAAAACAGGTCTAGGCATCCTCTTATAGCCCCAAATGCGATGACAGGAGCCAGGAAGTCAACTAAAACGGCTGGGTTAATCTTGACAATGAATTAACAATGAATTTTGAGATTTTAATCAAACCACTGCATTGATAGATGGAAGAACTATAACAACTAGGCAGAAAAGAACTTTCCTCAACTGTTGGGGGCAAAATATGAGCATATTTGAGTTGATTCAGAACCAGAATTTCTTTTTTTTTTAGAAAAAAAATAAAGAGGTGAATCCAAGAACCAACAACTGAAATTGGTGTGGCCTAACAGTTCTTGTCTAGACACATTTTGTTTATGTCTCTGGAGCCTTCAATTTTGGCATGTTACCCACAATGCACCATGCTGCACATGCACAGTGCAAACCCCTTGAACCAGCTTATATCAAGCCATAACTTCAAATGTACCAGGCTTTAGTTAGAGTTAGTGTAGGTACTAAAGGGCTTGTGTGAATGTATTTTGCTGAGACAGCTTGAAGAGTTATCCTATTGTGATGCCATTTTTTGTAAGAAAAGTCATTGCATTGAAGACACATACATCTAGAGATGTTCATCAATAGAAGAATGTCCTGCCAAGAAATAGATAATAGAATTTGTATATTTTGCATTTATGTTAATAGATACGTTTTGCATTTTACATTTGTGGCATGCCAACATGGAATGTATATGTATTTCGTTTGGTGTTTCTTTTGCATTTGTCAGTTTGGTGTAATATAGTTTATCATGGGAACAACACTAGTACTTTGTGGTTTGATCCGACATACATGTATTGTAATTCATCATTGTACATGTAAATTATTAGATGAACAAATCCAAACATGCAAAAGTAAATGCATCATGTTTACCTTCACATAGTGTAGCCTAACAAACTACTGCACTTAAACACATACATATACATGGTGACCAGCCCCTTCAATTTTGTGTTGCTGCATAATGTAACCAAAACCACAGGGTGTCTGCTACAGCACCAGTTACCATGGTGACAGACATCTGGGCTAGGTCATTGAAGTTATGTGTTTGGAGAAGAAGAAAAAACAGAGCAAAAACAATATGTTTTCCTTCTTCAAAGGTAAACATAAAAAGAGCGGACGAAAACATCATCATTGAAAATGTGGAAAATTGCCTGTAAACATTTTTTAACCCAAAAAGGGTTTGTAAACTTTGTGCACACATGCTTGCATTATTGTAGTTACTATTGCCCCAATAGTTACCTAAACTGCCCTCTCTGCTTCCTTGTAACTTCAGATCTAGAACAGAGGTTTTGTATGCTCTGCAGCCTAGGCAATTACCAAAATATAGCCAAAATAGAGCAAACAAGAGCTTTCAATGATTTTTGTAGCTTAGTGTGACAGAAACAAGGAAAAATGAAGTGGCTAATTTTTTTCTCAGTTTTAAGCATGTTTTTTAATTCCTTATTTTTTATTTCAGGGTATTAGTTCAAATTAATGATTATTGTACCAGTGGTGCTTTGTATGCTTATGTTATGTTGGTATGTATTTGTACATATACAGTTGGTTCATTGTGTTTATTAATCAATTTTTTCTTTTCTTGGCATGTTAGCGTAATTTATACTAGGATAGCTTAATCAAGAAATGTCAGAAGTTTTTGTTAACTAGTCCTTGCAAAAAGATTGTAATAATTGCTTGCCCATTTTCAAGCAAGACAAAAGAAAACATAGGATCAGTCATGTCTGTGATCTGACCGTCATTTCAGATTTTACCATGCAGGTGGAAAGACAAAATTGTATACTGTTACTGTACAACCATGACCATATTCACAAATAGACCAACCCTGACTGACTGTCCATCTCAATTAGTAGGTCAACCAATGAGAAGCCAGCAAGTAGTGGTTCAACCAATGAGAGCATGGCTGCATTGATGGGTCTTCAGGATTGGTCTATTCATCATCATGATGTTATACATACCTTTTGTTCCATAAACTGCTTCTATCTGATGACATCTTTTGCAAATTTTCCTCCATTTACACGAATTTCCTGCAACCACTAGAATTTTTATCCAGCAGTGGAAGGGTTAAACTTTTTGTGTATAACTCATAGCCTGGGTACCATCCGGATTTTCGCTCCGCAACGCTTGAAAAAATCATGATTTTTTTCGAGCGTTGCGTAACGAAAATCCAGATGGTACCCAGGCTATATAACTCATACTTGAGAGAGCGAAATGTACATGTATTCTATGATGTTACGACAAAATGTATTAGGTTAAAACTTTCAATACCTGACACAAATGGTGACAAAAAAAGTGTACTGCTGTGCTATTGTATCATCTTTGCCTGTCCAGGTTAGGGGAACATTCCAGTGGCTAGGGGACAGTTAGTAATCTAGTCCAGTGTTAGAGACTTGAAACAAAGCAATGTATAGAACAATCCAGCAAAGATAATATTAATAAACCAGTTCACAGGTGGAACTTCTCTTGTACAGTGTGATGTGTTATAATATGCCATGTATGTGACGTCACATAATGTGACGTATTACTAATAATGCAGGGGTAGTATAATACATCTAAGGCCATGTTGATTTGATTATATGGATGACATCCTCCGGGAGCCCCAAAACTGATGCGCGCGTGCGAATAAAAAAAAAGTTTTGCAAAAAAAAAGTTACTTTTCATTATGAAATCTACGTGGTCATGGGGGTTGAGCAAATGGCACAGAATATTGTTTGGCGAATAATCTAGTCTTCAAGTTCATTTCTATACAATTTCGTCCTTTTTCGTTTGATTTTGGCATTCTACGACATTGGTATAGTTTTTATTAATTTTTTTTGTAACTTATGGTATATTTCTACTCATTTTGCAACTGTTTTGTACGATTTACAGTATGGTTGAAAACTTTTTTTTTTGGAAACGGCCGAAAATTCATGCGCGCGCGGATGTCATCCATATAATCAAATCAACATGGCCTAATTGCAAAAAAAAAAACATCTCCGACGTTCAATGGCTTATTTTTCAAGCGAAATGTGTTTGTATATGTAC